GGTGATATTCCATCTAGTTCTGCTGCATACAAACCTGCTCTCTCCACACAGGTGAAGAAGGGGTTTTCTTCAATGGGGATCGTCTGCACTGGACAGTAGTCGACAAACTTTGTCCTCAGAGCATCAATGCTCTGGTCTTCTCCTCTGCCATACTGGATGCCTATTCTGGCTTTAAGCATCTGTGTCCCTGTTGAAGAACACACATGTTGTTCAGTAGGATGTCAAACAGCTCACAGATGTAAACAGGCATCTTCAAACACAGTCTCATTTTGCTCACACACACTCAAAGTAATCAGTGATCAGCATCACCCGACACATTTAGGCAATCTGCCTCCACTCAGCGTTAATCTTGAGCACACAAGATGAGCCGTGTAATCTGGATTTACAGTGGCACTATACGGCCAGATTACAGATTATAAACATTCCCACAGACGGTGCACCTATAGTTCTGACTCCTATCACCTTTTTCTGTGGTGGAGATCTCTCCCGTGTTAGGGTCGATCTGGAACAGAGGGATGTTGTGTTTGTTGGGGATCTGGCTGACCAGGCTGTAGCTCAGATGAGCGTTGGGAGTCTCGGGGTCGTCCTTATCCAACGCAAACACGCGAGTAAATGGGATACCTTGAATAACAAAGAACACTGATGTTAAAGTCTCAGCACAGTGAGAAGACAGCCTGAGTATGATAACACATACCTTACAGGTGTTTCCTCTCCTCTTATTTAAGTATTCATAATACACACCTGCCGGATTGTTTTCTCTGACCACAGCTGTGTATGCGCTCTGGTTGAAGAACGGAGCGTTGTTGTTGACGTCCAACACATTTATGGTCACATAAATGGGGCCATCCACAACTTCATCATCTGCCAGCGCCTCCACCTGGATACAAACACAAGTAAATACATATTTTAATGCTGCTATATTGCTAAAGGTTGATTTTCCGTGTGTTAATAAGAAGAGAGAGGACAACCTTACCATTATCAGGTAATGGTTCTCTCGAGACCAGTCCAGAGGCTTCTCCAGGTACAGCCACCCGTCCTTTGAAATCTTAATGTATTCCTTTCCTTCTCCACTCAACCTTAAACTATTAACTGCTGGATGGGTCACCTGAAACTATAGAGAGAAAGATGGGGAGGAGGGTAGACATATGAAGAGACAATTACAGATAATCTAAAGCCTTTTTTTACACCACATTTCTTCACAGACAAAAATAAACAAAATAAACTAGTTCAGTGGTTCTCAATCTAAGGGTCGGCCCCCTCCAAAAGGGTCACAAAATAAATCTGAGGGGTCGTGAGATACTTATAGAAAATCAAAGCTCTGCTGCACACAATTGTATTATTTTTTCAAACTTTTCTGTCTAAATATTGAAGAATGTTTCCTCTGGGATTCAAACAATAATCAATAATGAAACCATGTGACCAACCATGTGAGAAATCACTCTTTGGTGAAACTGCTAACAACTCATAGAAACTGAAACATGTGACCTCGAGTACGGCCTCAAAATTTGAAAAGAAACTATAGCTGTCCGACTAATATAGTGGAGTAAAAGCTACACTATTTCTCATTGAAATGTAATAAAGCAGAAGTGTAAAGTAGCCAAAATGGAAATAAGTACAATTACCTCCAAATTGTATTCAAATGCAATACTTTAGTATTAGTACAATAGTTATTTTCCACCACCGCTGGCGTGCGTGTAATACCTGATATATGGGATATGGCACTGGTGTCCCTTCTGGCACATCCAGCTCTGTGTTCTCGAAGGGGCCCTTCTTCTCCTCCAGGTCCTTCCCAGCAGCCTATCAGAGGAACAGGTCAAAGCTCATTGAATATAGTACAGGCTGAGGTAGAACTGACCCTCTCACACTCACGCCCACATTTGCCCTTTTCACATTGGCTCTGTACTGTAGCTGAATGTAGTCAGGTTTTTACAGCCCAGTTATTTATTGAACCAAAACTGCATGACAAATTGGGAAATCTCACATCCCACTGCATGACAGGGGAGCAAAGTCTACAAAGGCCCACTGCTCAGTTTAGTAACAGTTTGCACTTTATTTTAGTGTTTTAAATAAGTTACAAAAGGTTTTCTTTGTTGCTTCAAATGCCATAAAATAAAGTCTGCATGCATGCACCAAAGGTGTCCCATGAATTGTAATAATAAACACAAGCATCCTTTCACAGGTTGGTGAATTTGTGCATTAACTGAATATGTATGGAAGGACCGGGGAAACAGTTGGCAGTTATGTACTCACAATGCTGAACAGGAGTGGGAGCAACAACAGATGCATCATGGGTGTCATGATCACAGTCTGGGAAGGAAATGTAAGAGGAGGAGGAGACGGGGGGGATATGAAAGCAGGAGGTTGAGGAGGCAGAGAGGTGACATAAGAGGAGGATTTAAATGACACGTTTAAATTTTACAAGGCAAAATATTCGCTGTGCTCCGCTGTTAGATTCACATCTCATTCTTGTAGAAATAATTAACCCTGATGTGAATACTTGTTACGTAGTCCATTTGGAAACAATTAACCCCTCTGTGCCTCAGTACGTTACTTTCTCCATTCAGCACGATGAGTTATTGATTCATAAAGACAAAGAAAACCTGTCCTCTGTCCCAGGGTATCCACACATGTACATGCTATCTCTAGGTGTGGCTCCACCGACACAGCCAGGTGAACCTCACACCTCAGCACACATTAGAAACTGAAAGTCAGAGCTTACATGTAACGCCAGACTCGGGTAAATTTTGTCCACAGTGGGCGTCAATATGACGCAGGTACTGAAAGATCAATGAGCAGTGTTTAACCTCAGCGACTTTACAGCAGAGATTAGAATAACACCTCAGCCTTCATCGTGTGTGTGTGTGTACGTGTGGGTGTGGTTATTTTGTTTGAATAAGAATGATAATGAACACATTTACTGTCTCCTTGACATCCAGAAGTTACATAATAGATTAAATGATAATTGTTTGTGTCAAACACAACAGAATCTTCACTGTGTCTCAAAGATGTTGTAAAGTCTTGTATTCAGATGGCAGCTGAATACATGTACAGCACTGTTTGAGTTAACAGTACCGTGACACTGCTTTACATAATAGGAAAAATAAATCCTTTCACGTCAAACAAGACTGTTGTAAATAATACCAGGAGTGTATTGATAAGTGGACAGGTTGAGGATTTGTGGACTAAAGTGATAAGAGTAAAGTCAGCCGCCACCGACTAGTGAAGGTGACATTGAGTCGTGGCTAATGACCTTTTTGTAGCGCAGCACACTTTTAATGTCACTGCCCCGGTACACTCCTTATCCACAGAACACACATTTTACTTCAATTCTAATGAACTAACTATTATTTCTGTCTCCCTGTTGACAAATACCTCAGCTGACTGGCATAGTTTAACTGACACGCCATTGCTATCATCACTAGTTTACAGAGATCCACTTTGATTTAACTCGACTTCCAGAAAGGAAAATATTCTGTGAATTGAATTATTAACCGTATTTGTCCGACAGAGGGTCGATGGACAAAGTGACAAAGCCCTTGTAGGCCCTTTCTTTCTCCTTTTAGCGCAAGGACTCAGTGACCTTTGTCAGTCTTCATGTCAGCTGCTCTGACACCAGATCTAGTCTCCCATACGTGTGATATCCCCCAAAAAGCAAGGCACTGACAACAATCCAGGATGCCAGGACAGGAAGGACAGGTCGGTTGTCAGATATGGCAACACCCGACGCTAAGGCCCTGCCAAAGTCAAGTGAAGATCAGAGCACTTTTAAAACAAACTGAAAGCACCCGACACATCAAACTCAGCCTGTTTAAACCCAACGGAGGCAGTCCAGTTTGTGTCCTGTTCACACGGCAAAATCTACTCCAAAGACTCAACATTTCCAAAGCTGGAAGACAGGAGAGCGAGGAGACTTACCTCACCGGAGAGATTGAGCGAGTCACTCCTCAGGCCTCAGAGTGATCAGAGCAGCCCCATCCTTTTCTGGTCAAACGTTAACCAAGTGCTAACCAGCAATGTTTTATTGGATCTAATGATTGTCTAATCACCCTGCCCTCATGTGGAGCTAGCCAATGGGGGAGTAGCTGACGAGAGAAGACAATAAGAACAGAGCAATTGTACGTACAGTACAGTAAAAGAGGAACCCATTAAAACTTAATATTAGCTGCTGATTTTACATAAATCCTGATATATTGAGTTCTGTTGGTGGGTTATAGTTGCAAAAAACAAAGCGGTTGAAGGAATCTCCCATTAAACAAGTACTTTTACACTGCATGTGTGTGAAATTGTAGACAAAAAGAGAACAGAAAAGGGTGTAATAACGTGGCAAATTTCTCTAGATAACTGCTATTCCGCCTTTAAGTTTATAATTTCCCCTCAGACTTTGACCTCTGCACCGTTTCCTGTCAGATTGTCCATTAGTAGCAGTGCCTGATAAGGAACTGTGTGTGGAGACAATAGGACTATCAGATTACACTGACAATCCCTTGCATCATAAGAATGCAAACCTCTGGGGTCATCTGGTGTGATTCAGCAGGTCAAGGCATAAACTATAAAACTGTTTAACAGCAGGTGTGAGTCCAGCTTTGTCTCTGAACTTTTCCACTGCTAATAAAGTGTAGAAGTGAATGCCACAGAAATGCCTGAAAGAGAGTGCTAATAGAGTGTTTTCCTTCATCTTCACTATGAGCCGACATCACATATGGCTGGGATTATCTTCCGAACAACCTGATGCACACCGCCCCATCATCCTCGGCTGAAAGCAGTGAGCTTTACAAGCTGCTCGGAAACAAGGCAGAGATTTGTGTGAATCTGCAACGGTATAATTGTTATTTATTTTAAAAAGCCTACGAGTGAGTCACCATTTCACAGCTCCGTTATTTAACCACAACCTGTGACTGTTGACGGTTCATGGAGCCATTAATTCAGATGGAGGGGACTCGGTTATGTAAAGCTTGGTTCCATGTACGCCGAGAGAGATTCTGGCCAATGTGAATCAACACCATCTGCCCGACTGAACATACAAAACACACTTCCCGGGTGCTCCTGTGAATGTTACCGTGGCAACATATTTTACCACTTTTACTACAAAACTGAGTTTGGGATCAGGACGGGCCGTGTCTGAGCATGATGTTCGGTGTCACGCCGTTACCCAAATCTCTGGTCGGCCCCCCAAGCGGTCAAATCACTGTACTCAATCAGCTGACGTCCACCTACACGGAACTAAAATTAGTTTCTGAAAGTTCAGCTTTAATGTCACCTGACTCATCACAGTTGTGTTGAGGTTTCATAAGTGTGTCTCTTTTGTGTCAAAGCTGAGTCACCCCATGGTAATATCTCATCAGCGGGGTTGAGATGACAGACAAAAGAGACGTGTGTTTTTTCTCTCAAATTGGATGACGTCACTTTATTTCAAAGAGCAACATTGAAACACACAAGTAACAAAATACAATGCATCGTCTTTAATATATTTACAGTCAGTGCAACATACTACACATCACAAATCAAAAGTAAAGACAAGTCAGAAATGTTCATCATACTAAATCACCAATAGCTTATAACTGGTAATCATCAACAGATGACAAATTAGGCAGGAATGAGAGCAAAATGATGAGGAAAGAGAGACTAATATTAATGTATCTGTTCAAAAACACAAAACATAACATCCTTCTCTCCCGTTTCCATCAGTAGATTTCTAACCTCCGAAGTTTATGCCACACAGACACGACGAGTCTTTGCAACAGGAAACGTCACTTCATCAGCCGATTGTCTCGTCCTTCACAGAGGCTGAGCTCAGTCCACTTAGTCTGGTTTAGACTGCAACGTGTGGATGGCAGTGCAGGAAGGTTGCAAACACCTCTCACGTACACCAGGCTGGCTCAGTGTGAACACACTGAGGACTGAGCCATCCGACTGTTAGCCCCTCAGAAGCAGGCGTCCACAAATTCTGATCTCCAGGCTCAAAGGTGTGGCGTACAGTTAAAAACAAGTTGTTGTCATGTTTCTACAGCACAGAAAGATCATGACAGGACTTCGATTTCAGCCAGAACGCCACACTGGGATTGTTCTTTGCCACCACCTTGTCCAGGAAGCGTTTGGCCTTCATAGGAAGGCTCTCGCGGCGTGCGTGACGGTGTGTGTGCCTGCGACGCCTGTTGGCTTCCTCGGAGTCTCGGCGTAGACGCAGCTGTCGCACCATCCCGTGAAAAGCTTCCCAGACGTTGTGCTGCATGGCGGCTGAGGTTTCTATAAACTTGCAGTCAAACACAGCAGCGCAGGCGCAACCCTCTGAAAACACAAAAGCCTCATGATCAGTACTTGCATACCTGGGAAAAAAAACCTCGCAGTGAACAGTGCTCGTCCCACTCAAGAAGACAGGAACTGTGTCTCCTCACCGCTGACTGACACCTCTCTGCGTCGCACCAGGTCACATTTGTTCCCCACCAGGATGATCGGCGTGTGCTGCGCGGGACGAAACCGCCGCAGGGTTATCCGGAGCTCGGAGGCTCGCAGGAATGAGGCGCGGTCCGTCACAGAGTACAGCAACAGGTAGGCATCGCCTGTCTGCATGCAGTGCTCCTGAGCCCACTCGTGGTCAGTCTGCAAAGACAAACAAGTTAAATAAAGGATTTACAGTACTATAATGTAATTTACACAAGTCAACGCAGCTGCTTTTCATCTCACCTCTGCATCCCATGTGTCCAGCAGAGTGATAGTTGCAGGCTCTCCATCCACTTTAATTTCCTTTTCACACACTTCATCTGAAATTATAGACGCAACAAGAAAAGGTTTACATTATACTCAGTCATGTTGGTGACAGCAATGTTTCATACTATCAATATAATTATAACATTATCGGAAATAAACAAGTGCATGGTGGTCAATTCTGTCTATGCATTTATAATAAATATGCAAGTGTTGTTTATTTATAGGGATTTTGTTTGCTTGTATTCATCTAAAATGTATTCTAAAGATAACAGCTCTGCTTGTCAATAACGGTGTAATAATACGTTTCAGCATAGTTCTCTTTTTTCTTACCTCCACACAGCTCGCAGTCACCGCTGTCCATGCTGTCCGCTGCCCCGGCGAAGATGCTGCTGAAGGCCGTTTTGCCCACCCCGCTGGCCCCTAACAGCACCACCCGGTACGGGCCCCCGGGTCCCACCGGCTCCCCGGCGGAGTCGGTGGAGATGACGGAGTCCGAGGACGACCAGCTCCCGCGGCTCCCGTCCGACTCCCCGGCGGAGCTGGTGCAGGACTTGGAGCGGGAGATGCATGCGGGGACCCGGGCCAGGAGGCTGTCGCCCGGGTCGCAGATGCTCCACCGGTGGAGCTCCGTCTGCAGGCGGAGGCTGTGCCGGCGCACACTGGACAGCATGGTGCCAGGGACGAAATTAGGATGAACCCGATTAACCGACAGCGCGCGGGATTATTCGCGAGGTAGTGCTTTAATCGCTTTTGGGTGAAACACCCTCAAAAACAAAAGTCAAAACGAGTCGATTTCTTCCTTAAAAGTCGCGTTTACAGCTTCAGATGATCATCATAAACGTCCTTTAAATTCACTTACTTTTTTTTTTTTAAGTGTAACTCGAGCAATGCAAAAACACTTGGCTGGTAAAGGCAGAGCGACAGTTACAGCTGGTGTCTCCTTCACGTGTCTGCTGCAGTCTGTGATCAGTGATCTCCATCAGAGTGTTTCTGTAATGCTCCAATGGGGTTTCCCCGTGGTTTATATGAAGAGGAGGAGGAGGAGGAGGAGGAGGAGGTTGTTGTTGTCACACAAGTGGTGACTGTGATGGGCATTTTATTGTTTTGACTCATTTGCAGACTATCAGGCCATGGGCTACTGTTTGGTTTATATTTACACCAACAGGGTGCTGAATTGTGCAGCAGGAACATAAAACACACAGTGGGATTATATCACTTTTGAGAGAAGACACACCACATTTCCCCCCTTAGTGTATTGAGTTCAGTAAAGCTGTGTTTTGTTTTTCTTGAAGTCAACTTTTCATATCTAAAGGTTTGTCTTTTACAGCCTTAGTTGGTCTGGAATGACCAATATGCTGTCTAATGTTAATAGTACAATATAGCTGTATTTCTACACCACATTGATGTCAAAGCTAGTTACTTCACAGATTCAGAAAATATAAAAACCTATGACCAGTTTATAAAATATAAATTAGTTATAACAGCTTAAATGCTGCTTACCTGTGAATTAAACAATAACTATGGCGTGGATTCTGTTATCTAGAAGTCAAGTTCAATTAGTGGCACAAGAACTCGGATTCTTCTCTTATCTTTTAACATTGTTAAAATCTTGTACGCCCATGCAGGCTGAGCGTATAGTTATAGGATCATAAAAACGAATTAGTGTCATTTATTTCTGTGCAGACAGAATAAACTGAGTGAACTCACTTGTGATGCAATGTTCAGCAACAAGTGAAGAAAGATCTTGCTTTGCCAGCAGCATTGATCTTTCCACCTACATATCCAACAGTCGGCTGATTGCAACATGAGGCTGACGAGAGGAATTCTGATGGTGAGGAATCACTGAAACAACAGCTTGAGATAATGTGGATAAACATGGGAAGAATCGGACAGGAATGGTGTTAAGTTGCTGTATACAAGAGTGTTTCTATTGACTCTCAGCATGGCGACATTACTCCACCATATCTCTACAGATTACATTCTACAAGCAAATAGTTGTTTGCTGCAATATTGATGCTCTGAATACCTTATAGAGCACCTTTTAAAAAGGCAGGAATATTATTTCAACCTAGAGCTGCGAAAAATGAGTCGATTACTGGATAAGTCAAAAAAGAATATGATTTTGATATCAATCTTTCAAGTATTTTTCTCAAGTAAAACTGTCACATTTTCTCAACTTAGAGCTTCCAATTGTAAGAATCTGCTGCGTTTCTTCAAGTTTATTTGATGCCAACACCTTGGGCTTTGGGCATTTTTTGCTAATGCTACCATTTTATTTACCAAATTAATTGATAAATACTACTACTAATAGTCTTTAGTTCCAGCCCATTTTCAATGTGAACACAAGCTAAGGGGAACCTGCATCTACTTTCCGTCCTCCTAAATTAGAGGCTGATTTAGTTTGTTATTCAGTCATTTATGTCTCTTAATTTGATTGATTTATAAATGAGTTCTGTGCAGGTGCCAACGTGGATAACAAACCTCTACTGCTGCCTGTCCAACCTGACGGATGATTAACAGACATGCTACATCTCAACTTGGGCCAATAAAGAAAGCATCCATTATTTTCAGATCCCACTTCCTCCATCTTCAACTCTACCTTGACACACAGATGCCAAATATCATGAAGCGATACTCGGGAGGCAACTTCAATTCACAAAACTTACAAGTGAGTTTTACATTAAACAACAAAACACATGTATGGAGGATTGCTTATGTGTAATTCTGTGACTGTTGTGAGTGAAAACAATTCATTTCAATATCTTCTGCAGTGTTTTCAGTGTCAGAATATCTAAACTTCCCATCCAGCGCTACTGAATAAAAGCTCTGACAGGCTTAGTGCGTAAGCAGGAGATCTACTGCCAGCAGCAGCAGCATACTGTTAATGGTTGGAAACCACCAGTTGGTATTTGTTGAATGATCCATATAGCAACACACACAAACTGTGCAGAGACCCTGCATCGCATAACATCGCTCTCAACCCGCAACCGTCAGACTTTCATTTGCCAAAGCGCTTGTTGTGTGAGAGAAGCGGGAGAGTTATTACAGTAATTGTGGGATTACACGGCTTTTTTTTTTCTTTTTTTCCAGCTGTTGTTTTTCAGGACCTCATCCGCGAGACCTGCTGCTCTGTATAACAGCCCCGATTTGGTCTGCCTGACAGATGATTCAGCAACATTAAATCCTTGTTAAGTGCTGGAGCAGGATCAGGAGGAGGGGGGGAGTTATGCTGAGAGTTGGCTGCAGACTGGCAGAGTCATGGTGATGGCTATTGATGGGAACTGAGCGTGAAGTGACCTCTTTCTTTCCAGCTTTCACTTGATGTAAAACAAACCCTCACAAGTCTAATAAGGTCAGACAGACAGTCAGGAGCAGAACAGTCGACTTTACAGGGAAACAAACGTGTGTGCCTTCATAAAGACCACATAAAAACAATACTACTGAGCACATAAAAATGTAACCTTTAAAAAGATGAACATAAGACTACAACAGCTCTTTACTTTGAATAACAACAAATATATAAACTATTTCTACTTCTATTTGGTTAGGCTCAGTTGTTTTAAATATAAACAATCAAACAGAGTTACTGCCCGCGCGCTCACCGAGCAGTGAGTACATCTGTACCAGCGAGTTTGAAAACAAGTCCCTCAAAGAGAGCCCGCTGCTGAAACAACGTACAGTGGGTTTTATAGCAGTGACCTGGTTTCAGGTTTCTTTCCCCTCTTTTGGTTCAGATGTGGGCCAAGGAGAACATTACACAATCAAAGCCCTTAGAAGACATTTTCACAGGGCGACTAAGACTGCTGTAAAGCGAGGTCAAGGTGGACGAATCCAATGGACATATACAGTATATACGTCCTACAACGTTCACAACTTCTAGAGTAAAGCATTAACGCTATAGTCAGATATTTGATGTGGATCTAAATGTGTCTTTTTACTTTATTCAGCATTATTCTACTAGTTGCCGCACATTTCAGGATTATAGATTGCACTTATTGATGAAACATTTATCAACTGGAGCTGAAAACAGAATCCCAACACCAAGCCCTATTCTGCATTAAAAGATCACAGGAAAGCTAAAAGCACACGGCCTGTGCTTGCTAAATCTAGGGCTGCAAAGTATTAAAGTACTGATTATGAATTCTTATATCGGGATTGTATCTCAAATAATTGAGAGCCCAAGGTAACCGCTCCAAATCCTTTTTATTTTGTCCAACCAACAGAAGAAAACTCAAAGCTATTCAGTTCACTGTGATTTACAACAAGAACGAACAACAAGTCGTCACTGAACCATCGAATCTGTGTCCAAGTACAAAGAAACACAATAAAGGGACAACAATCGTAATGGTGGCATTTGTACACACAAAGAGGAGTCATGTGTACCTCAAACCTCAATTATATTTCCATCCAATTTGAAATGTCTCATCTTAGATAAGCTCTCATTACTTGATCAGATAATAAAATAAAAATGAGGGAACAAGGCTTTAAAGTAAATCATGTTCTGGCCTGTAGGCCTCGCTCTCTAAACCTCTATAAAGAGAGCAGTACAGAAGAGACAATAAGAGGGACGAAGAATATAAGTAGGGTAATCAATATCTCATCTGAAGGGAGGACAGTCCAACAAACTGAGCCTGAACTTGTTTTTCAACAGTGAGCTGCTGAGGATATCTCTACCGATGCACCAGTATCTCAGTATCTCCTCTAGAAACATGTGCAGCTTGAACGTCGATGACTCTACGACTGATAATCAATGAAATGTGAGACCCGTGAACTCGGTGTGGGTTAACACGAGAGGCACAGAGGTCCTGGGATCACATGGGAATAAACTTCCAAATCTGTGACTCAGTCTCTCCATCAAAACAACGGCATCTCTTTCTCCCCATCCAGCAGTGGAAAATCATTCATTCAGTCCGTGCGCCAGGTCCTCCAGTTGTCTGGCTGGAACGCACGGCTGAACAGAAGGATTGGCAGCGAGAGCTTTACAGAGATCGACAGAAACATTCGAACTCATGGACACACTGGCACATGGCCTCTGAGACTATTGGAGTGATTTGGATCAATATCCCGATTGGACGAGTGGCACTCGTCTGCCCAACACGTGTCCAATACCAAAGTGCTGCAACACAGAATGGGATTCCTCATCAACACAAACCGTAGATCGCATTGCCAAAGCTCAGAGGCTCAATCCTTAGCCACGCTAGTGGCTCAATAGAGACGTCCCGTGTTTTGGTCGGTCCACCAGCTCGGTCCTGACTGAAATACCTAAACAACCGTTGTAGTTGTTAGCATGACTGAAGATTCTCAGTATTGTTTTGCACGAGACTTCACAGACGACATGATAAATATATATATTAAATATGTAAACTTTGCATTCTGGCATTGGACTGGCACTGACAGTTTAAAGTCGCACTGTGTCCACACACACACACACACACACACATACACAAAGCTACAACTGTCATATGCATAAAGGCAAAGCTGAACATCCCATACACCCATTTATTACACAACTAAGATGCTTAACAATCACACAGAGTGGTGAGGACCCAATAAATAATAATTACAATGTTCACAGTATGGAAATAGGATTTGTACTGAAGCTCAGTTAATCTGACAGACCCGGGCACAACTCGTATGTGAATTCAGGGCGCACACGCAGCAACATAACTCCCACGCAGCAACATAACTCCCACGCAGCAGCTTTGTGTTGAAGAGCATGAACAGACCGATGCTATCCAAAATAACAGACTGAGCGGATCAGACTACGGTCAGTGTGTCAGATAAACTGACATTATAGCCCCAAATTCAGGCTTAAAGCTCACTGCGACACACTTGATAGTTTTTTTATGGATGGTTGTTTACACAAACTATGCATCCCACCAGGGACTTGGACACCTAAACTAAACTGGTCTCGGAACAATATAAATCCTCTAATTCACACAGTAAATATTACTCTAGATGGATACAGGAGTAACTCCTGCATGCTTTTCTACAGTATAAGGATATAAGACATAAACATGTCCAAGCTGCCTCAATCATACATGCATCTAAAATACGCTGCTTTCCAAAGGAAGAATTCTTCAGTCAATAAAAAAAAAAGGTTCAAATTATTAAAAGCCAGTTTATTACACATATTCCTTTTGAATTCCATTCATTTAATGAAGTTTTATAGTAAATGTCTTTGAATAAATAAAGAAAACGCAGAGAACAAGACACAGGATCTCACAAACGTCACTTATTGTTGTTGTTGGCACTGTTGAGAGTTTAGCTTTATGTAGCCAGGCTGCTGACAAAGCCCAGAGAGCCTGAACACACATGCATAGAAGTAGTACGTGTGTGTGTGTGTGTGTGTGTGTGTGTGTGTGTGTGTGTGTGTGTG